TTTTTTTACTTTAATCTAATTTTGATTATAATATAAATCGACAAAAATGAGGAATCTCTACGAGGACCCATTCCCCGAATAATTGGTACGGAAGCAAATTCTACTGCTAAAAAAATCTCGCGATTCACGGAGATTGGAGATTGGAGATTGGAGATGGAGATGGATACGGGAGGCACTATCCTTCCTTCCCTCATGACCCTGTTTTGCCAACTTGCCATCCCCTAGCAATTACGGTGTGGCTTTCCTCTCTTTTTTTTTTTCCTTTATTTATTTATTTATTTACTTTTATTTTTATTATTATTATTTTTGTAGAGTGTGTGCTTGAATTTGAAGTGTAGCATTAAAGGGCGAAGTGGATGGTGAAGAAAACGGAAGGGTGCCCGTAAAATGCGGAAGCTAGTCAGCTAACTCATTACTACTTGCCTTGCTGGCTGTGGCACTGGCACCCCGTTTTCATTACTCCTTTTTTTTTCCCTTTTTTTTTTCTTTTTAAACAATATAAAAAATATAAATACAGAATATATCATAATTCTAACATCAATTTATTTGAAATTACCTAAAATTTCATATATTTCATATATATCACTATAACATACATACATATAATTAATGTAAGACAAATACCCTATAATCGAATTTGATCTTTCGAATCAAGTGGCTTTAATCACGTTTATAAGGTTCATGTTCCCCTCCCCAAGGGTAACGATTCGAGCCGGCTTCACCACAAAATGTTCAAAAAAAAAAAAAAAAACCCTATAATCAAAAGGGAGACCCCACTTAAAAGGGTTAATCTTTAAGCAAAGACTTCCCTTTTATTTTTTTGTGCAAAAGAAGATGTCATAAATTAAACCCTATCGGGAGAGAGGTCCAATCCATAACAGTCCCAATCCAATCCTATCGTGGGGGTAATTAACACGCAAATCTAGAAAACAAATAGGAACATTGTCAAAAAGAAACGAAAGGGTTATCCACAGTAGTTAGTACCTCCATGCTTGACAAGGATATATCTACATGTCAACCACTAAACCACACCAACTTGCTTCACAATAGGCATGGCTGTGGTTACAACACGTAAAAATGTGTTAAGGCTATATCTATTTATTAATATCATTTTAAAAAATATTAATATATCTTATTTGATTAAACTATAAGAAATGATTTATAATTATTTTTTTTATCTCAAAATAATTATCATTTTTATTTTAAAATTATATTAAATTAATTTTATTTTTTTAATTTTTAAGGTAAAATAATATTTTTTCTACTTTAACTTTATTATTATCCATTCACTTTAATTAATCATCTAATTACAAGAAATCTTTCTTTATGTTTTATTTTTTAAGGATATTATAGATAAAAGTACAAATATTATCTTCAAATCTTTCATTTAAGAGAAAAAAATAAAAAAAAACAATAATTATTTTAAAATAAAAGGAGTAATAAAATACTAATATTAATTACTTAATAAATTAAAATTAACTTATAAACAAACATTTTTAAACGTTATAACCAATTATTTTTAAAAAATTATATGTTTATGAAGTATCAGTTAAATCAAAACACACACATTATTAATTGTCTGGCCTTAACACGTTTCCCTGTAGCCATAAGCACACCAAATGAACATGCCTAAGAAGTACTTTATGGTATTAAAATATTTTCATCAAAAAATGAATTTCTTTTCTTTATATTTATACTTTGGTTTAATTTTAAAACAAAAGTCAAAAAAGAACATTTTTTAACAAAGGATTTGTCTAATTTAAGATACAAGTTTAAAGTGTAATTATTTTATTTTTTTTTACATTAATTATTATTAAAAATACAAAAATTATCATTGACTTCATCAATAATATAACGTGAATCACGCATTTTAATTAGACAGTTATTTAAATAATGATTAGTTTTTATTTTTTCAATAATAATTAACAAAAAAAGTGTAATAATTATACTTTTAATGACACATGTTAAAAAAATTCTTTAACAAAATAAAAATATAACCATTCTGAATCTTAGGATAAATGAGGAGAAGTATGAGAATAAAAGAATTATTTTTTATTATATAACTCATTGATTAATTTTTCATAAAACCAAAAATAAAAAAACCTAGCATTTTGTTAAAAAATTATAGTAAAAAAAGTCAAAAGCTTTAGATACCATATTAAAAAAAAAAAAACCAAAAACTAAATGTGATTGATAAATCAAATTTCATGTGAATTTATTAATGATTATTTGTTATTTTCAATCTGGACATACAAATTTTGTCACCAATCCAAAAAGAAAAACACATCAATCTCTTTCTAATACAGACAAAGAGAAAAATGTGTTACACGTATATACTTTTATGTTTGTGTAGAGAGACTAAAGAGTACAGAGAGAGAGAATGGCTTTAAAAACCCCCATGTGGAGACCATGTGGCTCTTTGTACAAAAGGCAAAGCCCGTGTCCTTGAATTGCTCTTGTTTTGTGGGGTCCCATTCATTTTCCTTCGTCCCCATGTTTTCCGGATCCTGCCAATCCCTATTTCTTGTCCCGCTAAATCGTCAACGTCCCCCGCCCTTTCTGTTCACATGATTTATAAGTCCTATAGAAATTCATTGATGCCATGCCAAATCCCACACAAAAAGAAATTTAATTTTATAACAATATTCATTTTAAAATTAACCCATCAAAATTATGTTTTTAAATTACTACTTATCAACTTTAGCTGTCACATTGTTTTTCAACAATTGCTAAAAAAAAAAAAAAATCATTTAGCAGTTGAAAACCAAAGTCTTTAGAGAATTTTAAACCTAATATATATATATATATATCTACTCAATCTCCAAAGTTAGGTTAATAGACACTAGCACTTGGTCCGTGTGCACCAGTGATTAAAGCAACTAAAAAGTGCATATCCCTCTCCCCTGGATGGGTTTGACAAAACTGTTCAAAAAAGGTTAATAGACACTAAACCAAGAGGATCACTGCATTTTTTAATAAACGATGACAAAATGCCTATATACCATCAGTATTATAGCTAGGGAATAGGGAGCTCCCACAATGGAGCCGGGACGGGCGGGGAAGGAAAACTGTCAAGTGTCAACACGACTTTAAGAAAACCTAGCCTTGGAAATTTGAAGGACCTAATGGTTGCACGGATGCGGCATTTATCTTTGTAGGGCTGAATGTTGGTGGATGTTAACTAATAGTAATTTTTTATGAAAAGAATGTTCTTAGATAAATATTAAATTATTATTTTGTACATTTCAGATCAAGTGGTTAATTTTTTGTTTTCTAATTAAAAACACCCTTTATATTTGAGTTTTGATTTCTCAAGATAACAAATTTTTTTTTCCCCTTAGAATATTAGGATTATTTGTAATCTATTAAAAAAAGTTAATTATTAAATTGTTAGATTATTAAATTAATTAAAATTTTCTGTCTTTATTAAAAAATTTATTATTAAATTACTTGAATATTAATATATTTTTAAATATTAAAATTAATTATTTTAAAAATATTTATAATAAATGAATAAAATATTAATCAAATTGTATTTGTATAACAACAACACATACGGTCATAACTAAAGTGGTTATAACTGCAGCACAATAGTAGCACTCGACTACCTGGTACCGTAAAAGGAAAACATTTAGACCATAGGACCAGCTAACAATGCACGCTGCACAGTGATCCTTATTTTGCGGGTTCACTTTATTCGATCCACAGCAAAATACGAGGCCTTTAAAAAGTACGGCAAAAACCCTTCTTAAGCCCCTCAACTTTTTCAATAATAAATAATCAGCTTCTGAACTAAAAAAAAAAAGAACAAATAAGCCGCCCAACCCAAATTAGCCCCTCCGCTAATTGCGCTCCGTGACGTCCGTTAGTTAATAGCTTGCATGGCATTCCACACCTTTATACGTCTCTTTTTTTTATCCTTACTTCATTTGTTTTAAGTGATAATATATTTTTAGTTAGTTAATTAATTAATATTATGTAATACACATGTGATTAAGTATTTTTTTACTAAAATAATAACATTTTTTATTTTAATTAATAATACATTTTATTTCATTAATCCTCTTAAATTACTTTTAAATTTAATTAAATCACCTAATTAATAAAGAATTTTTTAATATATTCTTTTCTTCTCACATTAATTATTACAAAAGCATTTTTTGAATTTTTACTCTTAGGATATAGGCTAAGAGTGAGAAATATTTTTTTGTCATAAATTTATATTGAAAAAATAAATATTGACTTTTAATTTATTAATTATCTAATTGAATTAATTTATATAACAATAACACTAAAATTAATATTAGTTTTTATATTTTTCATATAAACTAATTAATTACAAAAAGGTCTCTCTAAGAGCAAAAATTAAGATATCTTAGCATTTTAAATATCATAACTTCTTGTAAAATTAATTATTTAAGTATTCTTAATAAATATATTTTTTGTGTTAATTCATCAAAGATATTTTAGTATTTTCATTATCATTTTTTTACTATTTTAATTGTCTTTCAATCAATTTTAAGGAAAAAAAAAAAGATCAATAAATTCTCAACCTCAAAGACTAAATGGAACAAAAGCTCATTGTTTGAAGGATCAGAAGATCAAGCACCATTGATCCATTTAGTCTTTGAGGTTGAGATCTTATTGATTTTTTTTCCCCTTAAAATTGATTGAAAGACAATTAAAATGTTAAAAATGATAATGAAAAGACTAAAGTACTTTTAATAAATCAACACAAAAAAAAAATTCATTTAAAGTATTTAAATAATTTTACAGAAAATCTTAGCATTTAAAATATTAAGATGTCTAGATTTTTACACTTAAGAATATCTTTTTGTCATTAATTTATATAAAAAAATGTAAAAGTTGATTAATATTATTGTTACGTAGATGAATTTAATTATGTAGTTGATAAAATAAAATGTCAATATTTATTCTTTCAATAAAAATATATGATCAAAAAATATATTTATTATACTCTTAACATATATTATAAGAGTAGAAATTAGAAATTTTTTTTCATAATAATTAATGAAAAAAAATAAGGAACATGTTAAAAACATTCTTCATTAATTAGATGGTTTAATTAAATTTAAGAAATGATTTAAAAAGATTATTGAAGTCGGAGTAGGAATCTACTTATATACAATTCTTACACATCATATTTATACAAAATTTTGATCCTTCATCTTTTCATTTTTAATAGTTGAGATTTATTCATTTTTATCATATTTATTAAAATTAATTATCTTTTTTATCTAAAAAATTACGATAAATCTCAACTATTAAAAGTAAAAAAATAAATAATAAAGATTTTGTGTAAATGTGCTGTATAAATAGATCTTTACTCTTGAAATAAAATATATTATTAATTAAAATAAAACACATGTCATTATTTTAGTAAAATACTGTTACCTAAGCAAATGTATATTTGTATAATATTAATTAATTGATTTAGCAAAAAAATTAATTGATTAAAAATATACCATCACTTAAATCAAATGAGGTAAAAACAAGAGAGAAACAAATAAAGGCATGCAATGCCATACAAGACAATAACTAACGGCGTCACGGAGCTCATTTACTGGAGGAGCTAATTTGCTTCAATTGTGGGGTTGGAGGACTTATTTTCTCTCTTTGTAGTTTAGGGGCTGATTGCTTATTGATGGAAAAGTTGAGGGGCTTAAGAAGGGGTTTTGCCTAAAAGTATTGTCTTTCTTTCGCTTCTCCACTTTTCATTATCAAACCCTCCCGTATTCATTGGTCATGTACGTAATTGGAAGGAGATTTTTTTTTTTTTTGAATATATTGAAAGGAGATTTTTAAGTGCTGTAGTGAGTACATGAAGTATGAAATGTTTTAAACCAATTGCCAATGCTTAACGTGAATATAATAAAAAAAAATTGAGCGAGATTAAATTAAACATGCATATGCCTCCCTCTCAAAAATCTTGACAGAAGTTTTTGATGATAAGATGAAAACTAAACTAATTAAGTCATAGTAATAAGATTAAAATGAAATTTTTTTTATCAATTTTGAAAATTTGAAAGCAACAATGAATGGATGCCATTTTTGATGTTGCAAACACATATAAATAATGAAAGAGTGTAGTAAAACTTATATTATATTGAATTATAGTATATTAACTATTACTTGGATTCTATATTGAGACCCTCTTCTATTTAATGATCCCTAGTTTATAATTCAGTGCACTTCATATTATAAAAAAGAATTCCTTATAAATAATATGACATCCAATCAAAACTACATGATAAATAAAACATATAATTGAGACTCATATTATGTCTCATATGTTTTATAAATATGATTGAATATCCTAATATTTTTTATGTCAAAACATATTTTTTTTATTTTCTTTACAAAAAAAAAAAGTATTGTGCAGGCTACTAAATTATACAATTTAAATTATTAAATGAGGGTAGATCCTTAATAGTAAAGATTGCTCTTCCTTCTAATATGGTTTATGTTTTATAATACCAAGTAATCCAAAAGTAAGGATTCCTAATCTTCAATTTTCTTGAGTAGTATAATGGAATGCGGGCCACCCTCTTTTATTCTTTAATTCATCACATTTATATGTCATATAACTTCAATTTAAAATTTTTTATTTTCATTAAAGAGATATTATTATTAAATTATTTAAATAGTCGGTAAGGATATCTTCTCTATCCTTATGTTATAGATAAGAACAATAATTAGCACACACTCAATTCAATATATTATACAACATACTCATTTAAAAAATCATTATTTTTTATCTAAAATTAAAAATAAATAAATATAAAAATATAATCATATACACAAAATATAAAAATCGACTGAATTAATTATATTTATATTATATTTTTAATAATTAAATTAAAAATAAATAAATAAATATATCAAACCGAATATGTACTAATTATTTTTCATAGATAACTATGTATTTGTTTTCTTAATATCCTCTACCTAGGGTTTGTTTGGTGGGCCATACATGCCATGTGCTTGCATGTGCTATGTCTTTCTCTCCTAGGCCCACCATCTCCTTTCCTACGAGCAAATAAAACGAAGTATTCTGCTCCTCCTTTCTGCTTCTCATTATCTCACTCTCGGATTCTGATAACACTTTCTGGATCTGTAGCACTCCATTACTGTGCAAAATTTCCACAATACTTCTCAAGATCGTCTTCCTCTCTTCCCATTCGATATTCAACAACTGTACAAGGTGCGACTTATAATTATTTTTCTTCATTAATAAGTTCAAACCAATTCTTTCTTTATTTCTCTTGTTTTAAATTTTCTCTGCATTCTCTCTACTTTCAAACCCCATCTCTCCCTCCTCCTCCTCCTCCTCCTCCTCCTCCTCCTCCTCTGTTCTTTATATCTTTATATTTTAATATGATCAGGAACTAGCTAGAAGCAAAATATGAAAGGTGCAAGAAACTCTTTTTTATTTTTATTTTTTAAAATGATTTTAGTGCTAATTAATTGTTGCAAAAATTTGAAATTCTCATCTTAACCAAAACTAAGAGATTTAGAAACTTTACAGGGATTATGATACTGCATTTTCCCATGAACAATTCTCCACCTTTAATTCCTTTCTCTGTGCAGGATGCCTCCTCCGAGCTCACTTAAACAAGAATTCCTGAAGAAATGGATGATGGGTCTTCATATATGCAGCTCTTCGAAAAAGAACATGAGTATTTTAGAGAGAAAGAAGGCTATTAAGCTATCTGCAGACATAGCCTTGGCGTCTGCCAGAAACGGCACCACCTGCTGGAGTCAAGCTATCATTGTCAATGCTTCTCAAGATGACCAGGATAAAATCCTTGTCCAGCATGTTTTGGGTAGGGAGTCCGAGAGATTAATGAAGAAGGGTTCGGTCCTGCCATTGACAAGCAACAAGAGGATTAGGAGCAGGAAGATCTTGAGAAGAAGCTGCGGATCGATCCGAAGAAGGGCAAGAAAGACTATTGCTACTTCACCTCCAAAAGTTGTTGCAATTTCTATTGCGAAGAAGTTGATTAGGAAAAGAACACAGTTGTTGAAGAGACTGGTTCCCGGTGGCAAATTCATCATGGATGAAATCTCTTTGATTGAAGAAACTCTAGATTATATCATTTCTCTTCAAGCTCAGGTGGATGTAATGCGCAGTCTCGCCAATGCTAGCTAAGCAACTCGAATTAAGAGCATCAATGGTAAATTGCTCTTTAATCCTAGCTATTTTATTTATATCTTCCTTTTTTTCCCCCACTTTACTTAGAAGCCTGAATTAAATATAAAGCTGGAAATAGTTGAGGAATGTATAAATGAACTATATATGCAAGTCATTACTCAGGGATCTAAATGTTGCCCTTCTAATAAGTCATTGTTGACGACTTCATGACTTGCATTTTTATGCCTAGCGAAGTACTACTTGAAAGAACCATTATATATATCTTTCGTTAATTTAATTTTTGTTTTTTTTTTTCTTCATTATGTACATCATTAATTAGGTGAGGGATTACATTACAGGCTCTCGTTTAATTTATACCTCATCACAAGGCCCCAAGTAACATAAATATATTAGGAGAACAAAAATTGAACTTATTGTAAGATTTAAATTGTGGGTTTCGATTCATGAGTATAGATATGCAGGATAATAGAGAGGAATAAATATTCTTGGGGGGTGGTTTGTGTTGTGCATGTGTATGGAGAGGGGGAATAAATGATTCAGTTGCTATAGGCATGATAATGGGAATTGAATGTGATACTAATTGAAGTATTCCTTAAGCAGGTATATGTTATTCTTTGTGCATATTTTTGGCTAAGAAACGAGGGGAGTGGTTTTGTTTTATTGAAGTATGGGAAGAGAGATGATGAAAGGCTCCTGCTTTGGCAATTGAAAGCCTGAAATTGCTCGCCCGTGCACACAATATTGCTCTTTTCCGGTTTCCCCACCCTGCAAATGCTCTCTATGTTAGGATGTTGACAAGAGGAAAAGTTTGAAGCTCCTGCAGGTTATGGAAACTCTTCTTATTGTAATATACATAAATGTTCTATATGCACACGTCTATGAGTAAAAGATGTGTGTACATACTACCTATGATTGGAAGCTGGAATAAATTAAGAAAATGGGAGTTTCTCAGTGAGTTCTTTTATCAGAACCAATGTCATTTTAATAGATCAAAGTTTATAAAAAAAAAATAATTTCGGTTGCAAAATGATAAAAAAAACACTGTTATCTAAGTGATTTGGGCTATCAAAACTTTGTTGTTTTCGATAAAAAGAATTTTTGACAAAATGAGAGAACTTAATTAGGAATACAACCAAAGGAAATTATTCATTCCATTAATTTAAATGGAAGACTAAGAATGCTAGCCTTTGTCATCAGATATATGTGCTGAATGAGAGGTTGATTTCCTTAAAATTGTCAACGTAGTGTTACATATCAGTGTTGCATCAAAATAGATCTCTTAATTAAACACTATTACTTTTTGATCAACAAAAAGTTAGAGTGCTTAATTATGTTAAGATTTATTTACATAAAATTTTTACACATGTTACTTATATAAAATTTTAATCATCAATCCTTCCACTATAAATGGTTATGAGTATTTACTTTTTATCATATTTTTTAAGATAATTATTATTTTTTAAATGTGCTAAATCTCAAGATGAATTGTCAAGATTATATGTAAGTAATATGTATAAAAGTTGTAATTGAAATAAATGATCTATGTAAATGAAATTGCAAGTTGCAATAATACTAGCACTTAAATGCGCTTTGAGAAAGGTACGGACACACTAATTGCTAAGGTTTAAAGAGCCATGAGAAAGAAGGCATGCTTTGTCGCCCCCTTCAATATGGTGAATTATTTAACATGTTAGGTGTGTACATACGGGCCAGAAAGAAATTATGAGTAATCTCTTTACATACATGATGGTTGTGTAAATCATGCATTCTGCAGATATTGTTTTTATCAAAAATAATGAAAATGTATTGATAGATGTACAAAGGCTACTATAATCAGTTAAATATTTAAATGTCACAATTCATGGTCTCAAAAGTCCAACATCAATTTAATCTTATTGACAATCTTAGGCTAGGGCATGCAAATCGAGTGTCTGAGCGTGTAGGTTGAAGATTTGATCCAAATTGAGGCCCAGTTAGTTCACCATCACTGCTGGGCAAAAGCCTAGTTTAGCCCCTCATCTTACTAAATTTGAAGGTTTTAACCCCTCACATTATATTATGATACTTTTAACCTCTCATCTTATTAGATTTGTAGGTTTTAACTCATCATCTTATACTATGACACTTTTAACCTTTCATCTTTTAAAATTGAAAAAAATAACCCTAATTTGGTAACATTTTGTTAGTTCTGTTAACTGACTATTAATTTTATTATCTCTTTTTTTTTTACAAGCGTAATGATTAGAAAGTTAGTATGAATTAGTTGTTAACAACTGGTCCTCAAACCGGGTGAATATTCCACCCTCTCAAATGAGGCACGCAGCTATCAGGCCACTTTTTGGTGGAGTTCACGACGGTGGTGGAGCTCGAAACTCCGACCACCTCACCCAAGCACTTAAAACTTGAGGTCAAACCATTGGGCCTAAAGGCCCGGTTCGTTAATTTTATTATCTGACTGTTAGTTGACTGTTAACTGACAGAGTTAACAGAATTAATTTTATAATATTTCGTTAATTCTATTAACTAACTATTAATTGATTGTTAGTTGAAAAAAACATACTTTCAGCTAACAGAGTTAACAATCAATATAAAGTGAGGGTTATTTTCTTCAATTTTAATAGGTGAGAGGTTAAAACCTATAAATTCAGTAAGGTAAGGGGTTAAAAGTGTCATAGTATAAGATGATGGGTTAAAACCTTCAAACTTAATAAGATGAAGGGCTTAACCAGGTTTTTGCCCCACTGCTGAGTGTGTGAGCCTGTGGGTGGGACATTTGGTCTGGTCCAATTTAATCAATGGACCAAGTGTAGCCATTTATCTTTTTGGAAAGTTAGGCCCAATCTGTGAGAGGGGCTGGCATGATTTGAGATTTGAAGAATGCTTCATATTGAACCTAACTTATGTTTAATAACCCTCAGCGTTAATTGGGCATTAGCCCATTTCTCTCTTTTATTTTGTTTTTAGAAAGTATATAAAAGGGATAGATACAGCCATAATGGGCAGCGACTCTCTAGTTGCAATTATCAAATATTTAAATTAACCACATCATATATAATCATTAAAGCTATGACAATTACATATTAGGAATAATTGGCAAATAAGCTCTCAAAATTGTTTTTTTCTTATAGTAAATAAATTTTGATCAAAATTTGAGGTCAAATGTATCTTTAAACTTAAAAATGACGTCAAATCTTCTTTATTATAAGAGGTGGCTCAACTAATTAAAAATTAAAAATTTAAAATTTCATAATAAAAATTTTAGATTTAATTCGTAAATTAAGTGGGATGAATTTGTGAAAAAAAGAGAGTTATCCCCTCATTTATATCTCGTTACCAAATATACAAAAAAAAAAAAATCAAATTTTCTTTAAAAATAATATAATTGTAATACTATGTGTTGTCATAAATTTACAACATTCATGTATTTTAAAAAAAAAAAATTGATCTTAAGTTGTATAATGAGAAGTATATTTCTTTTATTCCTTAATTCACTTTGCACACATGTTATATGATTTAAATTTAGAATATCTTATTTTTATTAAAAAAGGATTACCTTGACTTAATATATTATTATATAATTAATTTTTTTTAATTTTTTTAGGGGAATTAATTATATTTATTTGAATTGTTATATATAACATTATATTTATTCATTATTATAAATTTATAATTTGATATGATATGGTAATTATATCAATGTAAATATTTGTTGGTGTTGGTCAATGAGTGGGGTTATTGTTACACTTTAGATGATTAATATCACACTTTTTTAATATAATTGTTTATTATACTCTTACATCACATTCTTTTTCAAAATTTTACATTTTTTTGCTTCTTAATAAATCAAATGGTATAATAATCAATTAAAATAAAAAGATATGACATTAATAATTAAGGATATGATAATAACATCACCCTTGGTCAATCTATCACCCAAACCAAATAAAATAAACGTAGACTGATTTGGAAATCATCTATTATGAAAATCGCATGCTCCATTGTATCAAAGTTAAATAATTTACTAAGAAAATTTCCTACTACTTTCACCTCATTCATGGGATGAAAGGTAAATCATTTATTATGAGATGTGGAAATTGATGGGGGGAAAAAAATCTTATGACCTCCTTCAAAATCAAATTGGCACCACCCCTAAGCCCCCTAAAAAGTTGTACTTGTTAAAAGAATTTCATTGACAAGTAGGGCCAATTGGTTATATATATATTATATAAACCTTGGAGTAGCAGTGGAAGATACATGGTAGGTGATTTTGTTGGTCACACGCACACCACCCACCCTTTAAGCATTAACCCTGTCACATGAGTCTAATGAGCACACCTTTAATCGAATCTCCAAAAGTCCTCAACTTCATCAAATGAATAGAGTAAAGATGACCCCTCGTAGCCATTTTAGAATACAAAAGCCATCCATACCCAACTTCCATCCACAATTTAAAACAAAAAAGTTTTAACTTTATCAAAAGATCTCCTATTCACGCAAGCTTTATTCTAACCTAAAGAGTGGTTTAATTTCAATGATAGATGTCTAGCCCCTTTTCTTAATTTCAACACATCAATGATACATGTTGGCCCAACTGCATGCTTGGTTATAATTAGCATACATGCCTATTATTTTCATCTCTTCTTTTTGGTAGCCAGTTATTTATGGTTTGGGGGTAATCTGCTATTTGCCCAAGATAGCTTTAGTAATAAGCAATATTTAACTCCCAATTCACTGTCTGAACTTAACTAGTTGAAATTTCAATTCTTAAATTAAAAATTTAGCAATTGAATTTGGGATAGTTAGAATAAAATTTTAAAAAATATATTTTTTATTATATAACACATAATCAAATATATATATATATATATATAAATAATATCCAGCATTCCCATTTATAACATCTTTCTTCATACTTTAGCATGAACCGATGGTGTTGATTTAAAGATAGAAGAAACAGGGTCTACTTGATTCTGTTCATCAGTTTACCTACATCTTCCCCTGGTCTTTTGTGGTTGGCAATTGTATTTTCTCATAATTCAATTCATCTATATAGACCCTTATTATTCCGCAGTAGGTCCAACTAAATCAAATTGTTTGCAACTTCATGTTTTATACATTAATATGTAAAACATCAAATCACCCTTTCCAACTGTGTAAACATCCTATCTGTCTGCTTTCTTTTTGAGTAATTTCCTTTTTGGCGAAATTCTTTTTGAGTAATTTCCTGAGTGGGATCAAGGCAAACACAACTGTCTAAGCATAGACAATTCGACCAACAGTCAGTCCTAGTTTTCAAAGACACGGACTATTGAACCTAGACTCAAGGGGAGGTAGTCTAATTGGAGCTTGGGCCTAAACAGTGAGCCATATTATATGTATTTTAAATGAAGAGAATTATGGTTTATTATCTAAATTAATTTAGATTATAAAATAGAAACTGTGTATGATGGGAAGAGTTCAAATATTAAGGGATTTAATTTTTATCAAATAATTAATATTTTATAATTTAAATTAATCTAAATTATAAAATATTTTTTTATTAAACGAAATATGTGTGGTATGATAAAAATGGAGTAGAGGTAAATTTTTTTAGCTAATTAAATTTTATTATTTGTCAATATTATAGGACTCAATTATTTTACTATTTAAATTGTAAAATAAAACTTTTTTTCTTATCTAAAAAGTTTTATTTTACAATTTAAATAGTAAAATAATTGAGTCCTATAATATTAACAAATAATAAAATTTTTTTAGCTAATTAAATTTTATTATTTGTCAATATTATAGGACTCAATTATTTTACTATTTAAATTGTAAAATAAAACTTTTTAGATAAGAAAAAAATCTTAAATATTAAGAAATTCTTCATATTTAAGAGTTAGGTTTTATAGTTCAAAATACTTTAAATTATAAAATATTTTTTCAATATTATAATTAATTGGTTAAAAAAACATCCATTTCCTCCATTTACCTCCATCTTCTTATACTTTTCTAAATCATACCTATAGTATAATATCATAATAATCATTTATCACATGAATCAGAGTTATTTATATTGGAAACCAAGATAGTCTTTCTCATTCTATTGAGTTTTCTTCTCTTTGGACATTTTCTCAGTCCCTAGTTAGATGGCTTCCATTTCCAAACCAACACCTTCCGAGGCACATCCTGAATCAATGGATTTTCTATCACGTACATGGTGCAACTTCGCAGTGCAAACTCTCCAACCTGGTGATCAGCTTCACCATCAATCTATCATTCTCCGAGATCATCATCATCATCCACCGGAGAAATTTGAGCATCAAACCGCGCTGCCATTTTCAGTGAGTCAGAGTCCTACGGATTTAATTTATATATTATCCTAATTAGTTCACATATTTTTACAATTTTATATAAATTGTAACTTGTAGAAGATGGAGAAAAGTACAAAGCTGGATGATGCTTCAGATTTCAACTCTATACCGGGATGGAAATCCAATGATGTTAAGGTAATGAATTAACAAATAACAGAACACTACTAAGTATGCAATTTTTTTTTTTTTTTTTATAAATATGCTAAGACTACCGCTTAATTTCCTTTCCTTTTTTTTTTTTTCTTTGTTCTTTAGTCATGGATATGGATGCAACAAGCTATGCATCCGGAATTGAACTACAACAGCTGTTTCAGGAAGAAATGGGTATGTTGAAAATTGAAACATAATTTCTTGATTTGAAAAATTAATGTCTTTTCTTTTTTTTTGGGAAAAATCTCCTCATATACGCATAATATATTAGCAGCTGTCTTGGAAGATGGTGCCATTTAAGGGAATTCCATTCAAGAAATGGCTGAAGGAGATGAAGCTAAGGCGAAAGGAAGAAGAGAGGCTACAGAGAGCTGAAGTGCATGCTGCCATATCGGTTGCAGGAGTGGCAGCAGCGCTGGCTGCAATTACGGCAGAGAACTCGAAAAAGGATGAGTCTGGGACAACTAAAGAGGCTGCAGTGGCATCCGCAGCTGCTCTGGTTGCAGCACAGTGTGCCAAAGTGGCAGAGGCGATGGGAGCAAAGAAGGAGCAGCTTAGCAGTGCTATAGGATCTGCCATGAGTGGTACAAGTGCGAGTGATATCTTAACACTCACTGCTGCAGCTACAACATGTGAGTCCAGTCCTCCATTTTTGCAGGGATAAAATCATTGAAGTGTGACTTTAGTGAATTGGGCTCAGATTATTTGCTTTTAGTATGATTGGGCTCAAGGTCGAAGGCCTTTTTCCCTTTTTTTTTTTTATATTTAAAAATACGAATTTGAATTTGAAACTTCTCACAACAAATGAGTACTTAACAACTAAACTAATGTCTCATTCACAAAAGGCCTATTTAGTTATGTTAATAAGGGAGGACTTTTTGGAGTTTCAATGTTTTATGTGAAAATATATATATTTGGAAAGGGAATATGAATTGGAATCAACTGTCTTGCCTGCATAATATATTTCTGTTAACCTTCAAAACTTGACTTTGTGATAATTTCGTTGTCCTGTTTCTTCCTAGCATTGAGAGGAGCTGCTACCCTCAAAGCAAGATCAGGATGCAAGAACATATTAAATGGAAGTGCACCAGTTCTACCAATTGAGGACAACAATGATTTTCCTTTCGAGTTTGACAAATGCAGATCACTGCTCTCAAAGGGCACTGAGCTTGGTGTAGAAACTCCAGAAGGTAACCACATCTAACATATTGGACTAAACTTCATATATATATATATATATATATATGTTTGTTTTTTTTTTTTCTCCTGGAGAAAAATGCAATTTTGCATCTTGTGATTTTGATTGTTGTCACTTGTACAGGGAAATACAAGGTTAGATTAGTGTCAATTGTCCTAGACAACGAAACCAAGGTCTTAATCTCTACACTTTTTTAAAGTTGTCTCTTGAGACTTTACTAAGGCTTATCTAGCTCCTAACTCTTAACTTTACAGGTTATTCTTAAACTGAGGAAGCTCAATCTGTTCAAAAGCAAGAAAGAAAGTAAGCTTTCCTCTTCTCTTTTTATACACCAAAAAAGCCTGCTATAACCCACACTACTTCATCATTAACTACTGCTCTTTATAGAATCAAAGATCACATGTGAATGTGATGATAAAGTTCATTTTTGTTTCAGGTATTGTATTGGACCTGCATGCTGAGTTGTATAGAGAATCCGAAGCTGATGACTCTGATACATGCTATCTGCTCGTGTTAAGGACTAATCTGGGGACGATTAAGCTGGACATGGGGGATGATTATCAGCGTTACAAGACGTGGGCTGCAACCATTAATCATATGCTTGTTCTCCCCACCTCTTTCACAAAATATGAACTTCAATTCTATAGAAACTGAGGAAAGCTGCAGTGTCGATTTTTTTTTTTTTCTTTTGTAACAGTGCATATCAGTTTGTGTAACATATATATAATATATGTTCTTGTTTCTGATTCAATTAAACAATTTAATACATTAACTAACATTATGTTATATTACATATTAGGAAAAAATGTAAACAACATCGAAATTACATAAAACAGTAGGCAGGAGAACAAAGTCTAAACTTAATTTTTGAAATTAATTACGACTTACAACATGGGAATTATTGTCCTTTTGATGTCTGCATAATTGAGAAAAACTAAAATATAAAAACAGTAGCAACAAACATTAGAATAGAAACTCACCACTGAGGCTTTAGTCTAGTGGTAAGGGAACAGGTTGAGGTCCTAAGAAGTCATAGATGATAAGTTGACCCTTAAAGATGAGAAAACTGAACTGCTGAGACACATGCCATGAAGTATTTAGATCATGTGCCGTAGAAGTCCGCAAGGGATCTAAGAATACAAACTTGTGATTTTAATTTTATGATATGCTCAATGGACTTCTGTAACAGGGTTGCTAGATCAGCCTCCTCACACCCTGGAATCATCTGTCGTAAAGTACATAGATTTCTATGTTCAGAAAACCTTACAAATTTCACCCTTTTTCTGAACACTGGCCGGCCATTCCTCCTCTTCTGGTTCTTTTGATTCATGGACACCAAGCGAAGCTAAAATTTCAAGGAAATTTTTAAGATGTCTGTAGATTGCTCAATTGTTAGCAAGATGGTCTTGGCACAATGTATCAGCTTTTAAACAGGAAGATGTAAGGGAGACAAGGAGGAATGCATGACAAGTCCTTTTCATTTGTCAGTTGTCCCTTAGTGGATATAAATACATAAAAATCTTTAATAACTTGTTTGATTTGAAAGGAGGAAATAAGAGAGGAGAAATTTTCCTCTCAAGTAGACAAAAAAATTGAAGGGAGGCAAAGAGAGGGAAGAGAAAGGTTTTCCTTATTTTATATTTTGTTAATATTTTATCCTAACCAAAGAGAAAGGAGGGAGGGTAATAGAAACTCTTCTTCCCTCTATCCTCTCAAGCCAAACAAAAACTTTAATTTCTTTTAATAAAAATAAAAAATCAAAACATGCTGATATGTCAAAATTTTTTAAAAATTTAGAGACCCTTCTTTTTAACACAATAATACAATATGTATGGTAAAATTAATAGGTGTGAGATAGTTTCTGCATTTGCTCAAATGCAAATATGCTATGGACAAGGAAGCATGGCACAATACATCTACACTGTTCCATTGTTTCCTTTCCAAGGATCATATGAACACTCAGTGTCTACTCAATTTTATATCCCCACATACTGCAGTAATAAGTGTTGGGAAAATGTTCTACATAGTGTTCAAGATCTTAATTCCACATCTAGAAGATATTCTATATGGGACAATCCTCATCTTATTATGTGCTTATGCTTAAATAAGGATGAATGGGAAAACCAGGACAAAATTTTTTTCAGATGATTTTAGATATATGAATATTTATTAAGATTTAACATATTTATTAAGATTTAACATAATTATGTTTTCATTGTTTGTTCCTATGTGTTAAAAGAAGCCGTGTTTGGACTTTGGAGAGATCCAAACGTTTTGATATAAAAATGTTATGTATGTGTACGTGCAGTGAGTACTCTGTGATACACCAAACTTTTGCAGGAAGCAAAGAAGCATGGATGATGACAACCTTGCATGGATAAGACGAAGCATTGCCTAGCTGGATAGCTTGTCGGTTGTAATTCTTGCCACCCCATCCCACAATGTTTTTCCACCTCCCTTTCATGGTTGTGGCAATTGCTATCATTTAAATAATTAAGATTACTAAAATAATTTTAATTTTTCTAAATAATATCTAAAAATATTAATTTATTAATTAATTTTAATTTATTAATTAATAAATATAATTATTTT